CGGCCGCCTAGGCGGTCCAGGCGGACAAAAATCGGATCTCCAATTTTTCTTACCGATTTGGACAAAATCGCCGCGGTGCTCCTCCGATCAGCGCCTAGGCGGCTAGGCGGCCAATTTTTAGAACAAGGGTTGTAACTTACATGTAGGACGTGTGGTCTGATTCACTAAGACCTTTTTTATTAGACAACACTTTTGTTCTGATAGTTCAGGGTGAAATTCGGGTGTGTGGTGCATAATGGCATGGATATGTATAATCTGCAGAAATCTACTAAAGGAAGAGAAGAACTAAACAAGCAAATTGCGAAATGTTTATCGGGTCAGCCCATTTGAGGCCCAATCTGTAAGCAACACTGCCTGCGAAAATGTTGTGGAGTATAATTAAGATTGATATGACGGTGGATGTGTGAAACAGCTGCCTAGGCCTGGGCAAAATACCCGGAACCGAATATCCGAACTGAAAAACCCGAACAATACCCGAACCGAACCCGAACCCGATTTTTAAAAATACCCGAATGGGTCCTAACCTCCTACCCGAAAAAAACCCGAAACGAATCCGAACCGAATCCAATACCCGAATGTACCCGAATGTACCCGAATGTACCCGAATATAAATATACACCTAAAAATATTAGTTATTTTTATTTTTATAATACCCGAAATACCTAAAATTACAATCATAAAACCGAATATATTAGGTATTTTAGATATTTTTGGTTATATTTGGGTAAAGAGTAACCAATGTATTTTCGAGAAATCGGGTATTTCGGTTAGATTTGGGTATATATGAGTTAAAAACCCAAACCCGACCCGAACTTGAAAATATTCCGGGTATTTTTAGTTATTTTCGGGTATTTTGCTTTTTTATTAAAATACCCGAACCGACCCGAACCCGAACCGAACCCGAACCAAATTTTTAGAATACCCGAATGGGTCTTGATCCCCTACCCCCGAATAGACCCGATACCCGAAAAAAAGAACCGAACCCGAATGGGTACCCGAATGCCCAGGCCTACAGCTGCCTCCGGTACGTATGCTAGTGCCGGATACGACCGCAGCTGAGAATATAATTGAATGTGTGGACTGGACGGTTGAGTTATATAATTAAGAGATCTCATAAATATTAGTGTTGAAATATCAACGATGAAGGAACCCAAATGTTGGGTGGGATAATGAAGTTAAGTCCCAATTAAAAATTAGACTAACTGTTTAGAAGTGGACAGAGGGGTGGTTGGAATTTAATACATCTCCTTCTTTTTATAGGTTCCACTGACTCAAGAAGAAACTTCGATATCATCAAAAACCACAAACTTTCTTTTCTTTTTCTAATTATTTTATTTGTTATTGCTACAAACTTAAGCTACCTTCAGAAGAAAAAAGAAAAATGTCATGTTTGAAGTATTTCTTGATCTTCTTGATATTGGGTCTGTGTGTCTCATCGGAGGAGAATTTGCAATATGAGTACTTGAAAGTTCCGGCAAGCGAGTTTGTGAGCTCCATAAACACAATTGTGGTAGTGATAAGACAAGTGAGTTCGATATTGTCTCAGTTTGCGGATTTTAGCGGAGGCCGCCGACTGCAGAATGCAGTTTCCGATTGCCTTGATCTGCTTGACTTTTCTTCAGAGGAGCTGAGTTGGTCTGCTTCTGCTTCTGAGAATCCAAAAGGTACGCACCTTAAACTCTAGTTTAATTTACCACATCCTTATAGTGTTGGAAACTTTGAATGCATTTTTTTTTTATTCCAACAAGGTCAAAATTATTGTTATGAGATTAAATACTGTTAGCTAAGCCTAAATCAATATGTATTTGCTTAAGTGAAATTTGAAAAATGATATACAAATTGGAGTAGTGCGATTACTTGGTATAACTTGTTGCCTTTTTTCATTCCTACCAATTAAAAGAGAAAGATTTTTAAACTCAGTTGTGTAGACGATTGAAATTATTCTTTCTTTCTTTTTTTGGTTCAAAAAAACAAGACGATTGAAATTATTCAAACGCCATGATTTTGACTAAATAACAAATGACAGTTAAGCGACACATTAATCAGTCCAGCTGTTCGGTTAATTTCTTTATAATGTTTGTTTAATTTCTTTATAAGAATTACATATACAAATCAGGATAATATAGAACAATTATACATATAAATACAAAATGAAATAGAAAAACTATTACATTAATCTGCGTCTAAATGGTATATACGCTAGGAAACACCTAAATAACTGATTAGCGCTTATGCACATTACACATCAAACAGAAAAGAATTATAGGTGAAGGAGGAAACTAATGTGACGTATAAGATCGTAATGGAATTTTAGTCTTTTATAGATTATCAATTAATAATATGTACATAAAACAGCAATTACTACATACTCTTGTAAAACAAGATAGACAATACACCTGTACAACTCTACTGGTTTGGAATTTATCTAGTTAGATTCTCCACGACTCCAATAAAAGATGATGTACCATAGAATAATGAATAAATGATCGTTCATGGATCATGGTGTTTAATACTAAGGTAGTAGTAATATAGTAAGTACAAGTTTATTTACAAATAGGAAAAGAAGATTTATTTTGCACTTGCTGCATTAAATTTGAAAGCCGGCACGGAATTGATTGCGATACGGTTAGTAGGTGCATGGTTCTTTGACCAATCCTATTAGTACTATAATACTATGTACTATTCAACAAATACAATTTTGCATCACATCACAAAAATATTGAATTTCTTCGTGTATTTCACTATTTTGTTATTTCAGCTTAGACAAAAGTGAAACAAAAGAGCTTAAACAAAAATCTTTCTCGTAATTGTACATATCTTTCAATAGATATTAGACAAAATTTCTCGTGTAATTTTAAAGTTAATTTTAATTTTAAATGTTGATGTCAAAGTGATGATGATGTTACATCAACGTTGTGCATTCTCGTTGATGAAATGAAAGCAAATCCTATAATCATTATAGTAAATGGCATGTGCGTAGTAGGGACACAGAACGTGGATTTAGATTTGTAATAAATGTAAGTGTGAATATATGAAAATGATAGTGTTGAAAGATAAGAATAAAATCATGAGTATCATCAAGTGATTAATATAAGAGAATGCGTGTGATGATTTTGAATGGGACCACTGCACCAGGTAAGGGCAACGGAACAGGGGACGTGGGATCGGACACAAGGACATGGTTAAGTGCTGCTCTCTCCAACCAAGACACTTGTATGGAAGGCTTCCAGGGTACCTCTGGTCTCGTCAAATCCCTTGTCGCTGGTAAATTAATAACTTGTTATTGTAATCTTACAAAATCTTGGTTAGAAGAATTTATTTACGTTTTTTGGTAATCATGCAATTTCGTTAGGGTTTCACGTTATAAATTCTGGTTCAAGTCGGTTTGTTTAATTATTTTTTTAACGTTAATAATAATTTATCATTTCAGGCAGCCTTGATCAACTATATTCTATGCTTAGGGAATTGTTACCACTTGTACAACCCGAGCAGAAACCCAAGCCAATTTCTAAACCTGGCCCTATTGCCAAAGGACCAAAGGCCCCACCTGGCCGCAAACTTAGAGACACAGACGACGACGAAAGCCTTCAATTCCCAGACTGGGTTAGATCGGAAGATCGCAAACTATTAGAGACAAACGGTAGGAGTTACGACGTTTGCGTAGCATTGGATGGGACATGCAACTTCACAAAGATAATGGACGCCATTAAGGAAGCTCCTGATTATAGCTCCACACGTTTCGTTATATACATAAAAAAGGGTTTATATTTGGAGAATGTTGAGATCAAGAAGAAGAAATGGAACATTGTAATGATAGGTGATGGCATTGATGTGACTGTTATTTCCGGTAACCGCAGTTTCATTGACGGGTGGACCACTTTCCGATCAGCTACATTTGGTAATAAGATTTTTTTTGCTGCTAATTCATGTTTTCATAAAAAATTTATTTTCTTTTCTTAATTCTAATGAAGTTGAAACATTGTGACACAAATATTTTAGCGGTAAGCGGAAGAGGATTCTTAGCGAGAGATATAACGTTCCAGAACACAGCGGGGCCAGAGAAGCATCAGGCGGTAGCACTGAGATCAGACTCTGACCTCTCTGTGTTCTACAGATGTGCGATGAGGGGTTATCAAGATACACTCTACACGCACACCATGCGTCAGTTCTACCGTGAGTGCACCATCACGGGAACAGTAGATTTTATATTTGGGGATGGGACTGTTGTGTTTCAAAATTGTCAAATTTTGGCTAAAAGAGGACTCCCTAACCAAAAGAACACCATCACTGCACAAGGCCGGAAAGATGTGAACCAACCCTCAGGTAATTAACAAAAACATAAATAGGGTTTTAAGGTTTTTTTAGTATGATAGTTTCTTGAACGTGAAGTAATTGTTCTCATGTATATGTTTCATATATTAAAGCACAATTGTTTCCTTAACAACATAAATGTATATATATATTATATTAGCATAAGGCAGCTTAGATAGTAAAAACTTACAATCAATCTATGCATGAACCATAATATAACGATTCTAACTTGGACCTTTTAAAATTTTGCTCACCTTCAGGATTCTCAATTCAATTCAGCAATATCTCGGCGGACGCAGATTTGGTCCCATACCTAAACACGACACGGACGTATCTAGGAAGGCCATGGAAGCTATATTCAAGAACGGTTTTCATTAGAAACAACATGAGCGACGTTGTGAGACCCGAAGGATGGCTCGAGTGGAACGCTGACTTTGCGTTGGACACACTCTTCTACGGAGAGTTCATGAACTACGGGCCTGGTTCAGGACTCAGCAGCCGAGTCAAATGGCCTGGTTACCACGTCTTTAACAACTCGGAGCAGGCTAACAACTTCACCGTTTCTCAGTTCATTAAAGGAAATCTTTGGCTGCCTTCTACGGGGGTAACGTTTAGTGATGGCTTGAATATCTAAAATGGCTCAGTGTTTCTATTGTGAATGTTCCTGTTTTTTGTTCCTTATCATTTTGTTTTGTGTTTTCTTGTAATGTTCTTCTAAGTTGGTGTATTGTGGTATTACACGGTTTTGGATAAAAAGATTGATAAAAGGGGACAGTTATGGGGAGATTAAGTCGATCGGCTGAAGTTGAACAGATCATATTACCGAAAGGGTTAATAGATTTTTGTATGTTACTTAAAAAAGAACAAAATTCATATCTTACATTTTCGTTATTATTGATTAGGAATATCATTCATTACGAAACGCCTTAAAACTTGTTTAGTGTCAAAAGATTTGAGTAGAAATCAATCTTTAGCACAAAACCTTTTAACTTTGCCTCAACTAAGTTTATGTTCTTTTATCTTGTACTCCAAGATGCAATTTCTTCTTTACCCACATCAATAAAAAAAAAAAAAAAAAAAAAGGCACCACCTTACGTGTTTATCAAGCATCATAAAGGCCAAGCTTAACCGGAGACCCCATCTCACGGATCCATTCCCCTTGTAAGAATGGCCCCACCGTATATTTCATCGCCTCTTCCTTGTTTAAAACCCTAAATCCAGGCCATTTAACCCTAGAAACGGTTGCTCCGCTTGGACCATCATTCTTGTATTCCGCATAAGACAATGTGTCGATAGCAAAATCCGTCTCTTGCCATCTCAACCAACCAACATGATCGATCACATCCTCGATCGTTGATTCCATCACGACGGTTCGAGAATGTGTTTTCCACGGCCGGCCGAGGTAGCTCTTGAACTCTGCCTTTACGGGTTTAAGATCTTCGTTTGGAGCAATTGTACAGTTGTGGATCACAAAGCCTGTCGTCTGAAACTTATCCACTCGTCCTTGAGCCGTCACCGTGTTCTTCTGCCCCGGTAAACCTTTTCTGATAAAGATGTCACAGTTCTGGAATATGGCGGCGGCATCACCGAAGATGAAATCGACTGTTCCTACAATGACACAACTTCTGTAATATTGGCGGTGAGTGTACGCATATAACGTGTCTTGGTAGCCTTCAAATCGACAGTTTAGGAAAACAGAACGGTCGGATTGGACACGGATTGCGACAGCTTGGTGTCCCTCTGGCCCAGCCGTGTTCCTGAACCCCATGGAGTGTGCCATGAATCCTTCTCCTTGTGCCACTATAAGTAAATCAAGCACAAAGAAGGTTATTGCACCTCAAATTGAAGCCTTAATTGTTTCTTAGGAAAACAGGACATACCAAATGTTGCTGTGACGAAAGTGCGGATTTTCTTTGCGTGGCTTTTGTTGCCCGTCACGATTGTCTTCTGTGATCCATCACCGATCATTGTAACATTAGGTTTCTTCTTGTCAATAATCACAGATTCATCATAAACTCCATGTTTGATATAGATGGTGTACCTACAAAAACAAAATTTTACTAAGCAAAAAGTTTGGTAGTAACTTATGAAACCAAATATGAAGTATCATTATGAGACGGTTTTGTACCTTCCTTGGTACTTAGCAGGCATTGCTTTAAGTGCATCGTTAATGGTTGTGAAATTTCCACTACCATCTTTAGCCACTGTAGCATTAGGTTTCAATGCATTCACATCAACAGCTTTTAACATTCGTCTCTCCTTGTTGCTTAACCAAGACGTAATATGATCTGTCTCTTTAGCAGAAGATCTTGCTTCAAGAAGATGTCGCGTTTTAACCTTTGGAACCGAGGATATATATCCGTCTAAAGATTTTATCATCGCGAGTGAATTACTTGTCAAAACTTGAGAAGAATTGAAATTCTTACGTATCTCCGTTTTGAGTTTCCCTTCTTCAAATCCATCGACACATGTTTCTTGATAAGACATGACTGCGCTTAGCCAACTGTCTAAATCGGGAACTATTTTCGCAAAGTTATTAACCTCTGTGTCGTTGATTCTTTTCATGGAGGTGCCAAGTTCTTCCTTAGCTTCATCTACAAGCAACTTACACTGAGCTATAGCGTCTTTGTCATCTTTGTTCTCTGTTTTCAGGCTCAAAACCTTTTTAAATACTCTGTCTAGATCGTCATTGACAGCTACAATGGCAGACGTTAACAGGCTCCTAGGGTCAGATAGAGGAGTATCTGTCTTTGTCCCATTTTTAAGAGTATTCTCGCAAGTTGGTTTGTAAAGAGTGGAATTGCAAAGTGTTTGGATAATCTTATCGACCTGGCCAGCTTTCACAGTTTGTGCTGCGGATGATGGTGGTTTCCGGCTCGGGCTCTCGCTTTTGGTGGGGCTATCTTTACTTTTGTTGTTTGTAGTTTTCCCTTGTTCTTGAGTTTTGTTTTCATATGTAACATAAGCAAAAGCACCTCCAATAATGGCAGCAACAACAACAAGCGCAGAGACGATTCCAAAGATGATTCTCTTCCTGAATTTACGTTTCCTCTCTGCATTTACGCGTTCTTGAATCTTGTCAAAGTCTTGAAAAGCCATTTTTGCTCAAAACGTTTTTCTCTGTACTTTTTTACTTTGAGAGAAGAAAATTGAATTTTCCTCTGCCTTAGAAGCAAGCTAAGGCAGAGAGGTTAAAATGGACGATCAATCTATCTATTTTTTTTCTCGTGTTTATTTATTTTCCTCTGTTTTGATCGATGCATATTGTTTGTCTCATGAGCCAATTTCACACCTTCTAATTTTAGCTTCCTATACGAAATTTAAATTTATGCGTTAAGACTTATAAGTGATAAGGCAAAAGAAATCCCTAAAATTTATTCGTTTGTTCAAGTCTCATGTAGGGTTTTTGTTCTAAGAATTATTAAGTAGAAATTAGAGAAACACTCTACAAGTTAGCTTAATCCGCACATGGTTGGGACTATAAACAAAATTCAAGATGTAATCTAGAACTCAAATCTAATTTAACAACACAGTTATTCAAGGATCCCATCTTTAAACAAATGCATGCGTTCCACTTTCCAGAAATAAAATAAAATGAGCATTTTGACACACTTACGAAGAAGAATGTTGATAAAAACATAAGTAACGAATAACAAACACTAAAAGATAGAAGTAGTGTATGTACAATTGCATCTTGCTTTTATTAATTCTGATGCAAAGGCGATGGAAGAGGCATAGGCCACACCTAAGGCCAAGGGTAATACATAAACACAAATTACCCAAAAGACCATTCCAACCAAAAAGAATAAAAACTATATTTGCTAACTGAATATCGTGTATGTCTCTTGCAGAAAATGCTTCAGGACTTGTTACCAACAACTTGAGGATTGTCTCTCTCTTCTTCCTCCTTCACCTCTGCTGAAGAACTGTTGCTTGGCACAACCGTGGCAGGCGACCATTGGTCAGGAACCATCACAAAATAAGCCGTCATTGCTTTCCTGAATCTTTTCTTGTATTGCTGAGGTGATATTACTGTCGGAGTTGAGTTCTTGGGTCCTCCAAGGAGCCCTGAAGTCTTGACCCAAGTCTCCAGATGTTTGTCCCAAGTGTATTGCCTCATGAAATCGATAATTCCTAGAACCAGCTCGTTTCTTTCCTCATCTACCCCGACTAGTAAGGAGTAATCCATTACGTGAATCGACTTCAGCCAAAGAAACAAACCAAGATCTTGCATCAGCATTACTATGTAAAGCTCAAGAACAAGTTCGGCATTTCAAAACGGCTTAAAAGAAGAGTAGCAACTGGAAACTTACAGCAAGAAAGGATGTATCATTCCAGACTGCTCTTTCAAGAAGACGTTTTGCCTTGCTCCCAACAAATATTGGAGATGTCGGCATTGCTTCGACCAGATTCTGGTCCAGCAAAACTGTATTGCTACCACTTGTATCGGGATTGTAACGAGCACGAGTGGAGCCTTTTAGGTCATAAAGCCTAGTGAAGTTCCGCTTGAACAGAAGATTCTCCATCACCAAGACGTCCATTTTGAACTCTTTTCCTCCTTTAAGGTGTTTGGATGAAACCTTTAAAGATATTAGCAAAGAATTATGGGTTTCACTAAATGTCAACAAAAGAGATAACAAGAAAAATTATGGTTTTGAGTCGAACAAAAGCTTTCTCAGTTATCATGTAGTTCAGAGGGATTGTTAGTTAACTATTTTGTTAATCTTTCATTCTTTTGTACCTGATAGATTCCCAAGATCTTTGCAAGGCTAGTAGGGCTTTTAGTACTGATGGACTCAGTCAGGTATTTGAAGTAAGCTGGCCCAAATTTGATGAAGGACTCAAGCTCTGTCTTTGTGACTTGCTTGATTATAAAACGGTCATCCAAACTTTTTGCAAAGAAGACGTTGCTCTTTCCACCCTGGGCTCCCCATTTTCTACAACGACCAAGAGATCTAATGAAATCTGTTTCTGAAGGACAGCAAATCATCCTCAGGGCTTCAAACTCCTTAGCATAATAACACGTCACAGAGTACTTCACTTTCCCAGGAGGACCTTCATCTGTAAACGAAACCCTCGCATGCAGATCTTTCAAATACAGTGATGAATGTAGCAGCTGCGAGACTTGTTCATCAGCAGAGCTAAGACTTCTACTCATGTCAACCGACAAATCACTCAAAGAGTTCAATGAGAGAAGATTAACAGAATCAAAAAGTGAAAAGGAACCTCCACTATCCAAGCGATCTCTTGACTTATCTGATCCAGACATCTGAGCTTTATATTCTGATGACGTAAGGGCATAAGCTATGATACTAGTAGGTTCGTCATCATAAACTGGCAGTACTAAGTCATTACATCCCAGAGGAAGCAGCAGCCTTGCACCACTTCGCCATTCAAGCTCTCTATATGAAGAAACATAAACAGGCCGGTCTTCAGCCATAATATGTTTGCGAGTATTAAGCGAATAATTCTTGTTGAGTGAATAGTAGAAACTAGGAGAAGGCAACTGAACTTGTGTTGTATGTTCATCATTGGTAGGGCCTCCTTTAAAGTTCAGTTCACTTTCTGAACCCAACAGCCTTAAATCAGGGATCTGAGTTCCATTTGTTGAAGCAGCTCTGCTAGGCGGACGGGAAATACCATTCTCTAAAGTAGTTTGTTCACCTATCCATGCTGCATCAAGAGTATCAGATAAGTCTGTTGCTTGATACTGGCTCTCGGAGTGTACTGCTTTAACCACCTGCGAAGACTCCACAAAGTTATCTTTACCACCTTCACTTGGGTCGAACTCCATCCTACATTCTGGGGGTATGTCTGGGCCTACATCTTCAGGAATAGCAAATTTGCCACTAGTATCAGCAAATGATTTACCTTGGTTACGACATGTTTCGTACTCTGCATCCTGGAGAAGAGAGTCATTACTACTGGCAACATGAGACGGTATCGACTTTAGTTTTTCATCACTGAGCTTCTCTAAGGAGACGTTACGACCCATAACTTTTGAGGCAGAATTCTTTGGAGCTTCAGAATAGTTATTTCTTACCATACTGGCCGCCCTTGCTAGGCATTCATCCCAAGCATATGAATCGAAAAGTATCAGCCTTCGAAGTTTATTTATCAGAAGGATATCAATAGTAGGTTGTCCATCCTTAACCACATTTAACATTTGCTGCAATGATTCCTGAAAACCAGCGACAGCCTTAATCAGTATTGCATACAGAAAAAACTGAAAAATCGTCCTACACTGTAGAAAGGACTCCAGGTACAGAGGCTAGGTAAAAGACTCGTTCCTATACAGGCCAGCAGATTATGACACAAGCTTCTACAATTATCTAAAAGAAAACTTTTTAACCATGTGTCTATACTTTACACACATAATTTGTGAGAAGTATGAACATGGTGGGGGTGTCAGAGTGTAGGTATGTGTGTATGTGTGTGCAGGTGGGTGGGTGGATGGGTGGGTTTTGTCTGCGTGAGTGTAGTGTGAGTGTGAGTGTGAGTGTGAGTGTGAGTGTGAGTGTGAGTGTGAGTGTGAGTGTGACTATGACTATGAGTGATGTAATGCGCCAAGTACATGCAGCTCTATTTCTTCTTAAGTCCAATGGTGTGTAAGTTGCATGACAGGCTACCTTATATTCCTTTTTACGTTGCTCAAGAAGTCCTGCAAGTTCTTCAAGAGAAAGCTTTATCTTGTTGGGAGTGCTGCCCTTGGAACCTGTACCCATTGTTTTCAGTGAAATTTGACTAAGAGCCTCCTGAACCTCATTAAAAAGGACTTCCGCTTTTTTAATCACCTATAGTATACAGACCATGACAATTAAGTAAAATAAGACTCATGGCTTTGTTGAATATGTAATAATTTTCGATTAAAAATGTGGGAAACTTGTAACCTCTTTTGATTCCTTTTGGAGCCATTCCTGGTTCTCATTGTTAAACTCAAGTTTTGCTGGTGGCAGAAACACTGCGAAAATATTGATTGAAGCATAGCGGAAGCAAGCCACCATTCTCCCAAAACTGCAGTAACAAAAATATAAGTGATACTCAGTACTGATGTGGCCATGCTTGTTTAATACAAGGTCACAACCCTCAAACATAGACTGAAACTTGCCGTATAGATGACAATTAGAGAAGTGAATGACCAACACTACTACTTATGCAGAGCCTATCTAGACAGTACATCTGATGTGTATTAAATGCTAAGCTTGATTGCATTACGCAACATGCTACTTGAGAATCAGACATATTGGACGAGGGAAAATCAGTAACGTGTATTAACAGCAAGCGAAACAATCCGCAGCAAAAGTTTTTATTAAGAAGCATCTCTTCATACCCATAGAACCGGAGACAGTCCCTGTGAAGGGAATGACCACAGTTGGCCACACGACTAGCCGCTGCATGGTTAGAAAAGCTCAGTTCCAAAAATTTGCCAAAAGAAAGGCCCCACGCAGCATCTGACATTACAATTCTGCGTGTGGCTGGAGGAAAGCCATTGATCCGAGGACATTTCAGGCACCGATGCCACATCCAAATCTTCCCTTCACGTTGCCCAGGTAGCAATTCAGGCAGTTTCTTAACAGATATTGTCAGGCTACCTTGCCTATGAGTATAACAATGAATGTGTGCTTCCGCTGGCATCGTACATGACGGGCAGTACTGATCCTGAATAGGAGATTAATGCAAGCCTCAGCTATTAATAACAAGAGGTTTATACCAACATGATAGGTTTCATTAACTTTTGGTCTTACACATTTAATTATCCTGGAATCTGTGAACCATATTAATGTCATTTTTCTGCTTTTCCCTCCACTCGCTCTCTCTCTTAAACTTACCCTCCTACTATTTTCATGGATTGCTTTTATGATTCTATGAACCTAGAACATATACTTCCACAATTATTCATGTCAAAATAATGGGGTAACAAGTGCGTAACCATAAAACTTTAATTGGATTAGTTGGTCCACCTAGTTCCATCAGGAGTTCAATTTCCTCATCATTCGCTAAAGAAGAATGGTGTGCTCCAAATTAAGAGATAAAAAACACACTTAAATGAAAGTTACCTGATCAAAGAGATTATCCCTTAAGAACCGTCCTAAAGGCTTGTCAAAGCTCCCATAGTATTTGATACGGAGTAGATGAGCCCGCTCACACACAGATCCTTTCCATACACATCTTGTGGATAAGGAAACCAATATACTTTGATGGTCAGAAGCTGATGGAAGAAAGTCTCCTTTTGAAGAGTCTATCTGTTCCTGTCTACTACAATTTTGATTTCCTATTACTGCGGAGTCATTCGTGTAAGCACCCTCGGTTACTTTTTCTGTGGCACCGGGTAAAACAGACCACTGATCTTTTTGAACAGAAGGTTCTTCCACGTGAAACGATAGCTGCCTGGGTTCTAGAGTAGGAACTAACCCATCGTCCTTAGTGGTAATAATTTCTGGAGGCTTACAGTAAACAGTATCCAAGTTA